ATGGTTTTAAAGCTCACGTGCAACCACATTGTGGGGGATTTGTAATCAAATCAGGAACACACTCCATAGGGGAAGGTGTGCCGGACAGTCACCCCTCAGCTGCAGGAAAATCTGCCCGAGTGCAGCTTGGTCCCTGAGGAAGCACTGACAGCCTGTGGCTGGAGGCAAGTAAAAATAGGCAGAGGGAAGAATGCATTGCGAGGGGGCCACTGGGAGCAGCCCTGCGTCAGCAGGGGACGGGCACCGTGGGCCTTTCATCAGCTCACGGCACCAAGAGAACATCCCGAAGCACACTCTAGTTAGAAGATCCCGCTAATTTTGCGGGGGAAAGGAGGCACGGCCCTGTCCAGCCACTTCTCCCATTAAAAATTAAAGGGAGGGAAATTGTTTCAATCGATTAGCCACGAATGATTGCTTCTCTTTCCCTCTCTGAAATCTTTCTGCTTCTCCCGCCAACCTCAGGCACCTCAGGGACCCGAGGACCTGTGCCACTCCTCACTTTGTGGCACCTGATAACCTGCTCATCTCCTGACTCCCCTGCACATCTCACCGCTTTGTGCACAGACTGAGCTGCTCCACTTGGATCACCGGAGAGAAGGCTGGTCAAAAAACAGGCTCTGACTCAAGGCGCTCTCTTTGCAGTGTTTTCTGGCTGTTTGCAAATTAAATAACCCTCAGTCAAACTTTCCTCCTTCTTATTTTCCTCGCTTCGGGCCAGCGATGCATTAAGGACACTGAAAGCAACAGGAGCACCTTAACCATTAATACTTACTATACACACGCTGATATCATTGAATCTAATACAATTATTTCAGGTCAATCAGATTTTATTAGATTAATCCTTTCCTGTCAACCACCCAGGGCTGAAATACCTGAAGAACGCGCTGCCACAGCACACGCTGGATGGGAGCTGATCGGTGATGGATAAATGAGGGAAAAAGAGGCATTTCTTAGGGTGATTTAAAGGCTAAGCATGTGTGTGGGCTCCTCATGTCTGCTGGGGTGCTGCTGCACAGGTAACAAGGGATTTTTCCCCCTGCCTCCCCATTTTAAGGTCTGTGCCAGCCTCAGCGCTCTCAGCAGGTTTAGGAGATCGAGATGGATTTGTACACGCAGGCATGATCTCCCCACCAGAGGCAAAAGAAGGGCATTAATAATTAATGTCAAAAGCACTGCTGTCCCTGACACCCCACCTCTGAACTGAATTTTGGATTTTTGGAGACACTGCTCCACAGAAGTAGAGCTGCCTGTTTAACCCAGAGCTGTCCACCTATTCCTGATATTGGATGAGCTGCGGATCCCAGACTGTCCTTCCCCACCCTCGGGCACCTCCGTAACACAGCAGGCCTGTGTTTTTGCCAGCTGCAGCACGCTCCCCCTGTGCGCCCCGAGGGACACGGCTCCAGTTGCATTGTCTTTCAGGCGTGGGCTGGGGCAGGATCGATGTCCCCTTGGCGGACGATGAGATCATGTCTAAATTAACCGGACCTGGCTTTACCAGCCATGAGATGGGCTGATCCTGCCACAGCCACCACCAAACCCCAGGTGGTGGCAGCTGGGTGCCATACAGAGCCAGAAGCACCTGCTCTAACCCTCAGTCCAAGGGGTAAAGCTATTAATGCTGGGGTCGAGCATCACAGATAAACACACGCTCACAGCAGCACATTCCCCAGTGCCTCAGAAAAGGCAGAGGGGATGAAAACGAGAGGTTCCTGCCGGGATCCCATCCCGAAAAGACCTCAGCAGGGTGAGGGCTGCTTGGCTGAGACCACAACAGGCCCCAGCACCTCGTGCGAAATGTTGGCCCCCACTGCCATCTTGTGGCAAACACCTCCCAAAACCAGCTACGACAGGGGGGAACCCGTCAAAAAGTTGAGAGCAAAGTTTGCTGGTGAGGTGAGCGTGGCCAGCTGAGCTGTTGGGAACAGGGTGGGGAAATGGATCCCATCCCTAAAGCAATGCTGGCCCTGAAACTGCTGCTCTGAGTGTGGACCAGCGTGGAAGAACAGACAGACAGGGCTGCCCAGATGGGTACAGGGCTCACACAGCCATTGCCTCCTTTTGGTTGTGTCTCTGGCACACCCACCCGTACCTGCACACAGAGATTTGTTTGCTGCTTCAAGACACTTAACAGCTTCTGAAGCAGTGCAGCATTGTGTTGGTACGAATACGGCTTGTTGACTCCAACAGGCAGGATTAAGCTGGAATTAGATATCGCACCTCTCAATTTGAGAATGCATTTCAAGTCATCCCCTCAGTAAATTCCACAAAATACAGGGATTACGGCTCGTGTTGATCATTTGTGCAGCACGAAACATCTTCAGATGCTGAAAAATGCAGATGAGAACCCCTTGGAGTTTGGAAAGCACCTTGCCGCAGGAATCAGATGGCTTTGAACATCCCCACATACCTATGTGGACACTCAACCTAGCCAATCACCTCAGGTACACCTCGTCATTTACTTTTTGCATTGTTTATCATTTACAGTGCCTCGCACCATGGCAAAGACTTTGCTTAGCAACTAGGCACCACTTCTCAGGAAGCACTCTCCAAGGCATTAGCGAAGTGCCTGGGTCACTGCACCAGCTCATCATGCCGTGGCCGGCTGCTGCCGCACCAGGAAAAACAACGGCACATTGACCCTCCTCGGGCTTCTGCATGCATCTACCAGGTGCAGCATCAGCTACCATCAAGGTCTGGAACAACACAAAGCACTTAGCGTGCTTAGGTACACAGGAATAATAATAATAATAAATAGCACTGAACAAATATACATTAGTAAATCATTCATATGTATGTCTCTTTCCTCACCACACATCCCTTCAAGCAGTAGTAACACATCAAGAAAACTACAGGGAAAAAGTATGTTCCAGAAAACATAGATGATCAGCACCTTATGGTTGCAGTGTCCCAAATATTTTGATAAACCCTGGTTTACATCGGAATAGCTCCGTACACACAATCATCAACACAGAAGCACTTTCCTTTCTTCCATTACAATCCATACAATTGTGTTCCTGGGAGGAACAACAGAAAAAAAACATACTAACAGACAAAATCCGTCTCTTGGAACCTTTCTATTTTCACAGCCCTTTCTTCAGATCTTTGCAAGTCTTTCTGACTTTGGCCCTGCTGCATGTCACAGACAGGTTACAAGACACAAAGCATATTGCCAGATAGAGACACTCGATTTTCTCCTTCCAGTTGGGATTTCACTACTTCTGGGAATTTCTAGCATCCCATTTTCAACTTCTTGGAAGTTTTAAACATCAGTGTATATTACATACAATCTAGCCATAAATAGAAACAATTACACCACAGATCGATGTTTATTTATGTTCAGAGATTAAAAAGCATTTCAAGGCTGATCCCAGGCCCAGATGAAGAGGTTTCTGTGGGTACTGGTTAGAAATCAATGCGCAGGAAAAAGGAGACTGGTCTAAATATTGGATCAGGGGATGGTGCTATGGAAGGTGTCTCCAGGTTTTAGAAGAGAGGCGCATCGCACGCCTCTCGAACCTCTCACAGACCTTGTGGGTCGAGCAGTTAGACAGGATTACCAGCTGCTGCGGCTAAAACACAGGCTTGAGACTGTCAGGAGGGCAAGTTCCCCCCCTTCCTACATTAGCCAAAATACCATCAGCAGTTTTTAAGTCAGAGACGCCCACAGAGCCATTAGACAGCCCTGGCACCAGGCCGGCCCATTTATTCTTCAGGTCAGCATCAGGAACCGGAAAGCACCGCTGCTCCCTTGGTAGGGCTGGACTGCAGCAGTGCCCTGTGCCCATGACAGCCTTGCAGCCCCCTGGAAAAGGGTCGATGGAAGAGGGGGGGACGGTGCCTGCACTGACACTGAGCCCACTGGCGGGTATCAGCCTAGGGGGAGAGGTGCAGGAGGAGCGGGTGGGTTGGGGTGCGATGGGGCTCAGGGGTACAGGGTGCAGCAGCATGTCATGGTAATGAGATGGGGAGGAATCGAGTGGACCTTAATTGAAAACCAGGAGCACCCCCAAACCAGCTGGGTTACTGAGCACGATGCTGGGGCGTGGGAGCAGCAGGGGGACATGTGCTGTCAGCACAGCCCTGCGGGCACATGGGGGTCATAGGATGTGCCGGGAGGTCCCAACCTGCTTTCTCCAGTGGCTCTGGGTGTACAGGGAGAAGACAGGGACCTCGGGGAGGTCGTGGGGAGCTGAGGGAGCCCAGAGGGTGGGGGCAGAGACTGAAGCACGCGTGCGGCATTCACGGCCCCTGGGAAGGCTGCGAGTCGGGACTTTGGAAAAGCACTGGCAAAGTAAAGAGAAGGAGAGGGTTTCTGCTCTGCCTTGGGCAGGGTGCGCAAAGGGATGCGCTGATCCAGGAAGGGGGGAACAGACAGGCTGAGCGTGTGGTTAGGGGAAAAGAAAAAAGAAAAAGAACAAAAAAGGAAAAAAGAAAGAAAAGGAAAAAAAAAAAAAAAAAAAAAAAAAGGAAAGCCAAAAGTGCCCGGCCGATTCGTCCCCCCAGCATCCCCGGCGCCCACCTCTCGGCCTTGGTGAACTTGCGGAACGCCTGGCGGAGGTCGTGGAAGGAGCGGTAGGTCTGCGGCTCGGCCGAGATGCCCTGCGCCCGGGTGGTGCGGGGCCCGATGTGCGGGCTGGGCGCGGGCAGCACCGACTGGCACTTGTGCAGCCGGCGGCGCAGCTCCTGGATCTCGTCGTCCTTCTCGCCCAGGCGCCGCTCCAGCTCCCTGATGCGCTCCTCCTTGAGCAGCAGCAGCGCGGCGAAATCCCCCTCCAGCTCGCTCATCCTGGGCAGCGCCGCTGCCCCGCGCTAGCGCCGGGCCGCTCGCATGGAGCCGCCAAGCGGGGAAAGAGAGGGGGGAGGGAGGGGAGGGGAGAAAAAGAAAAAAAAAAAAAAAAAAAGGAAAAAAAAAAAAAAAAAAAGAAAAAGCCAAGGAAAGGGGAAAGAGCTTCCGTGCTGCTCCGCGAGGCTGGGAGCCTGGAAATAGCAACAATTACCATGTGATCGGAGGGTGACGCAGCTCCTTGTAACTGGAGCCGAAGACTTGGGACTCGAACGAGAGCACTTCATAAATATTGAATCGCCGCCCGCTAATGAGCCACGTGGAGCCGCCGCGGCCCCGCCTGGCCCCCGCCTCCCCGGCACCCCCTCGCGTCCCTCCCGGCCACTCGGCATCCGCCCCTGGTCCTCCCCATCCCACCCCCAGCTCCCCCCCGTATCCCACCGCCGGCCCCTGCTGCTCACCCCACCCCGTGGGGTACCCCCATCCCTTCCCCGGCTCACCCCACGCCGCTCCCCTCAGCCTCTCCAGTCCCTCCCTACTGTCCCAAGCCCCCTCGGGCACCTGTGTCCCCCCCCACACACCCCCAGGGGCACCCAGAGCCACCCCCCCCCCCGGGCGGGTGCCCCCTGTCCCAGCACACGCAGCCCCCGCGCCGGCAGCCTCCGGGGAGGCCGGAATTCGCCCTTCCCGGACTTATTTGGAAGAGCCCATCACGGACATGAATGTTTTAATGCCGGCTGGCAAAGGGCAGCAGCGGCTCCTGCGTCGCCTTGCCCTTCCAAAGCAGAGGGAGGGCAGGAGCCGGGGGGCATCTGAGCCGGGCACGGAGGACGGGGTCGTATCAGAAAAGTCCTGGGTGCACGAGGAAAGCAATTAGCGGCCTCTCATTTAATGGGGTGGAGGCAGTGGGATGTTTTACCACGCTTGGGCCCGTTCCCGCAGCCTCTCGCACGCGGTTGGAGCCCCCCAGAGGCAGAGCCGCTCCCAGGTCCCGTCCGCATCCCAGCAGCATCCCCGGAACGGACAGGGCGGGGGGGTGGGGGGGCAGAGGAGGGAATTATAAAAAAAATAAATTGCATGTGGCTTTATTGGAAGGCAAAGAGCGCCATCTCGTGTAGGAAAGCACCGCGCAACGCAGGGAAGAGATTTGCAGACGGACAGACCGGACTCTCCGCTTGCTGCTCCAGAGGGGAAGGGGTCCCAGAAGGGTAGGGGGAGCCCGCCCACGCTCGTCGCCCCCCCAGACATTTCCCCGTTAAAATCCCGTTTCATAAAAAAAAAAAAAAAAGCCTTAATTTAGAGAAACAGGAGCGCTGTTCCTGCGCTCCTCAAAGGCTTGGCAAAAGCATTTTCTGGCAAGTCACTAGGGAAAGAAACCAGAAAGTGCATACTTTTCCCAAAACACACAGTAATTAGGCAGTCAGATCTCACCGCTGTCAACCAGTGCTTTTCAGGGTTGTTTTTAATGCACTGTTCATTATTTGCATTCAAGGACCGCCTACAAGCCTTGGTCTCCACGCAGAAACAGGAACCTGGATAAATGCTGAAACGACCACAATGTAGAGATGATAACCAAGCAAAGACACCCAATGATAAAAATGATACCCAATGATAACTAAGCAAAGCACTGGTGCTTCATACCACGGCTGTCTACAGTCCTAAGACTTTCAGTTTGAGGTAGAAGTAGGTATGTAGAGACCTCCACCAAAGAAGGTCACTCCCAAGAGCAATCTTGCATTTCTGCCCTACAGCAACCCTAATGCATCAGAAGAACTTTCCCTCTGTTTTTTACTGGAAATTGTGCAATGCTGTTTCAAACACAGTAACAGCACTTTGAGGTTTAAGCTATTTTGCAGCCCTGGGAACCAGCAGGGCAAATAGAAAATGTCAAGGATGCCATAAATTAAGTGCAATTAGATATTTACTGTGGATTAGGAGAATCTTGTCACCACCACCCCACTTTGACAGGCTCTCTGGTCTTCACCTCTATATTACCAGCCTCGAATACAGACATTGCTTATGACTGTGTCTCCTTATAGAGTCTTGTTTAGATGGAAGAAACCCTCTGGAGCAGAGGGCAGGACAGAAAAAGCAGGTCCCAGCCTGCCTTCTCACCCACATGACCTCAGTTTCAAGTGTTCGAATGGCGCAGCATGTGATCAGTATTAATATCCCACCCAGATTTGGATGCCTTGTCCGTGGCCCTGCATCTGAGCCGCAGCTGGAAACGAAGCGCTGAGCATGGCCAGACATCTAAATCAGCTTTGGCCCTCCCAGGTCTTCCCAGCATCGCCGCTTCTGCTAGGCAATGCCACGGAAGAGGGTTTACAGAAAGTAGGCATGCAAAATACGCCAGGTATTGAACCAGGAAGGAGCAGCGCCTTCATTTTTCATTCAAACTCCTTCTAACAGAGGGAGATTGCTTTGCAAGAGTGAAGCACGCAGACATTACTCAGACTGCGGCTGTAATTTCCCCACTGCAGGCTGTGCCAGTAACCCCTTAGCGCAACTTTAACAGGGTATCAGAGGTGACGCAGGATTTTATAAGATCAATAGCCTGGCTTTTATTTCACATCCTCCACCCCCTGCACTGCCTCCACTATTTCTCTGGTAAATTCACTTTTGCTACCAACGAGCCCTGCAGCAACATGCACTGGAGCATTTCCCCCATGCAAAAATAAAATACATGTAACAAACAGAAATTGCTGAAATTGCTGTTTATGACCTATTTAAACACATATTACCTCTCCCTCCACCCTTAAATCAGCTAAACCTTTGCAACAGCTTCCTAAGGGATGCAACTGTCCAGATGACACGAAGTATGTCCTCCAGACACATAGAGCAACTTATGTTTATAGAGGGAAAGCGTATATAAAGAAAGGAGATAGAGGATCCAAAGAAGTTCTTATTTTAGAGAGCAGCAGCTATTTCTTTGCCCTGCTTTGCTCACTCAGCCCTGCTCTCCCCTCATCTTCCAGCCTTATTTTGTAAACCACCTCCTGGAAACAGGTGCTGTGCCAAAAGCTGGATGGTACCAAATCAAGAGTTAATTAAGTTCAGATGCAGCCCAGACTGCTTGCCTTCACCTGGGTTTTTCTTCATAACCATTTCCTTATCACATACAAGACAACTTGTTATGGGAGGGTGTTTTAAGGTTAAAAGAAGGAGGGATTAATTTTTTCCTGTTTCAATCTTTGGTATTTCTGTTGCTGCCTAGAGATCAAAGACCAAATGTGGTTTTCATCCCTAGTTCTCTGGGTAATCTAATAAATTGTGTCACCTCCCCAGTGTCTAATTTACTACCAGCTGTGAGGTTTCTTCACCATGCAGTAACTCCTCAAGTGGGAAGCCAAAAGCATCCAAACAGCTTCCTTCACATGGAAAAATGCAAAAAATATGCTTTTATTAAAAAGTTGTCTTCCCAAAATTCCCCAGCACTTGATGCTGCTACTTCTCACAGCCGATCTTGCTGCCCAACACCTTCCAAAGCGCTGTGGTGTTTGCTTTGTACGCTGCCCAGCTGCCCAAGAACACGAGTGGCTCCCATGAAGCCTCCACTGATGCCACCCAAGTGTTTCCACAGGGCTGGATTGATTTTTCCTCCCCTGCTAAAGCCAACCTATAAAAATTTACAGAAAAATGATGTTGCAGGCATGGAAGCAGCCACAGGCTAGAGGAAGCTATTCATTTCTTCAGCATCCAAGATCTAGGCTCTAAGGTTTCATTAGCTCATGGAGTTACAGGGTTGTCCTGCTTCTTCATTAAACATTTTTCCTGACAGGATAAGCTGGAAACATTTCCTTGTATTCCACTCCTCCTGCTTTTTGGTAGGTTTTCTCACTATTGTTTATGGCTCCATGGGTTTAATTTCTTCTTGTATGAACATCAACTAAAGCACCCATCAGAATGTGATGAGCAGGATGTCTTTTTCCATAATGTTAGGACAAATAGGAAGCCAAAAACATCTACTCAAATACCTAGGCATGACCATTTCTGCTGCGCGTTTGTATCGCCAAGCTCTTGCTGTGCTTGTTCAACAGCATCACAGAGATGAACAGAACAAAATGCCCAGCAGCAGCAAAGAGCACTTCTATTTTTAATATTGAGAAGGTAAAACAAAATAAATATTAAACCGCACAAGCAAGACTTGTTGGGGCTACAGAAATCTATCATTCAAATTTAGACATGTTGAACCCTTACACATGAATTTCTGCTGTTTGTCTGGTACTACCCAGATGAGTTTACCTCCCTACAGTTGTGGCTGTGTCACCACTCCTGTGCTGCACGCTAGCTTTTGCAAAATTTTGGATATGCAGAAGAATGAAGAGCTTTGTTGTAACTGAATTTATCATATATATATATATATTTAAATCACTTTCTAGTGGATTTCTCCCTTTGTTTTTTAAACAGAAGAATGCCATATAACTTCCTTGATCTTCAATCATTTGATCTTACTACAAATTTAGGCACAAGCTTTTCTGAGCTCAGCACCTTTTTCTACAAAGACTTTTTAAAGAGCATAACAATAAAAAAGAATAATTATAAATTGTATAATAAAAATCCCTTTGCCTTTCAAGGAAACATCCTCCAGAGCATTTCAGCTCTTCTGCAAACCTCACCTGGCCTGGTGGCAGATACATCTGAAACATCCCCTGGTTTCTTCAAAGGCAGAAGGAAGAAACTGGATTGGCACATTTCAGGGAAGCATTTGCAGTAACAAGAGCAAAGCCTGCTGAGAAGCAGTGTCCAGGACATGTGTGCAAGAGCACAGCCCTAATGCTGCTTGCTAGCACGTCGTGGTGAAGCCAGAGTCAGCACATGCAGGGGGAGTCACCACACGGGGAGTGAAGGGGAACAACGTCAGGTCTATAGGATTTCAAGCCCAAGAACATAGATTTTCCTACCATGAGACCCCTCAGAGCACTTTCTCATTTTTGCAGAAACACGGGAATGAGACTGTGATTTTTTTATTTTTTTTTTCTTTTTTAGGGTGAAATGAAGGATCCTCGCCAAAAATGAGCTGCTGTACTTGATGGGGTTACATTACATTTCCCCAGCACGAGCCTACCAAAGGCCCAGCATGGCCTGCCAATGGCACTACTGCTGTGAGGTGAGGTTGTGACATGGGGAAAATCATAGAAAATGTTTCAGACTGCTAATAGTTACAGATGTCAGGCAGTAAAATCCCGACAGCTCCTTCTTTAGAGACAAAATCATATTAAGAAGAATTAAGTTCTTGATAAAACGACTGCATCAAGGTTCATGATGGGAAATGACACAACCAACCCGATTCTTCCAACTGCCTGTAATATTTTACCACGTCGAGCACTTACAATGTCCTTCATTTCTCTTGAACTATCCAGGGGGTTCCCAGATGAGCACTCTGAGACATTTCCCATACATTAATGTTTTCTGGGAAGGGTTCTTTGCTTCCCAGGGAAGGCACTTCCCACAGGAGAGGTACTCCCACCTTAGACATGAGCTCCAGAGCAGTGGCAGGTTCACAAAAGGACCAGGTACATTGGTTTTTAATAAGCTAACAAGCAGCTACAAACACAAACCTCCCTCACAGCTTTGACACAAAAATGCAGTTCCAGATCTTACATATTTCCTTCTCTTTTTGTTGCAATGTGGTGCTTTTAAGACCATCA